TATATATATATATATATATATATATATATATATATATATATATATATATGACACCACATTATATGTTGGTTCCTCTGTCAGTTAGTGTTGCTAGTACTCATGACCTGGTTTTGCAAATGTGTTTTTCAGGACTCCGGTATTCACGGCTGAAAAGATTTAACAATCCCCTGCTTATTAGTGTTTCCAGTTTGACTTATAATTATAGGGATGAATACATTTCACATGACTACCCTAATTAGGGCAGTCAGCTCGCCTTGGCTCATCTGCTTTAGTTACCAGGGTGTGCTGTACTCTGGGCCAATGCACTGAGCTCCCTGAGGGAAAAACGAATGATTAAGAAAAGAGACACTGGACAGATGTTTTGGCCTTATTCTTACTGATTTGGTTGCTCCTGATGTATGTTTGCATTGGAATAGAAAGGATATGATGCAATGCCGGGCAGTAAAATAATTAAGTTAGAAGATTATGCTTTGCTTCCTTTCATTCCGGGCTGGGTCTAAATACAATTACTTTAGCTCTATTTTTTGTTCGTGAAGTGAGGTGTGTCCCAGACTTCAGATAACATGCTTTGACTTTCTTACCTCTCAAGAGCAGACATGTCAAGGAATGTGTCTGGGATATTTTAGTGGCCACTTCATTTTTATTAAACTAGAGGTAGTCTTTTTTTCCTTATCTGCTTCTCCTCACATTCTCAAACTTAAGCTTGTATATCTAGAAATAAGCTTTCTGTTCACACAAAGGAGCATATTGTAGATTGTTTCTTTGCATGTATGGCTGTGTGTGTGTGTGTGTGTGTGTGTGTGTGTGTGTTGCTTCTCTTTGCTGGCAGTCAGAACCTGTCTGATCCACTCAGGATGACTGAATACAAACAGCAGAAAATATATTTCTTTGAATGCTTATGCAGAACAAGTCTCCTGCATTTTGGGATCAATGCCTATTTTTATTATATTTATTGTGCATTAGTAAACAAGCCTACATTATCATTTGGGTGAATCCTGCAATCCGATTTGTGATGCGATCATTTAGAAACCTAGAATCCTACCTCAAACTTTTCGTTTTGTTTTCAGTGAAACACCACATCACGCCTGAACATGCTTGTCTCAGTTTCTTATAATTTTTTTAGCACATTTTCTGGAAAGATTCAGATCGGTGCGAGAATATACTACCCCAGACCCAGAAACTGGTGCATCACTAAGATTTTATTTCATTCATAGATTAACCCCTGATTATCACTCTTGAAGTAATCTGGGTAAAGTTAGGTCTGGAGGAGGAGGAGAAGGATTTTTATCAGTAAAGATACGCAGTGATGTATTGCTGAGTGATGTATTATTAGAGGTAGTTTGTAATATAAGAACTGGATTTCTTTTTTTTTTTTGAGTTGATGTTTCCTGTATCAACTTCTATAATTGTGAAAATCTGTTTCTTCCAGTCTGCCAAGGTTTTACCAATCATTTAAATCTTCTGGGCTCTAAAGAGGACCACTACCAGAACATGGTGAAGACCTACAGCAATTGTACTGTTGTCCTGGAGAACTTGGAGATCACTTATGTAGAAGAGCACCGTGACCTTTCCTTCCTCCAGGTAAAAACTAAATATTTACATACCTTGTATAAAAACACACATAACCTGCTGATATTGAATCGTTTTTGGTCTGGTAGGATTAAAAAAATAATTTATGTTTAATGTTATTTGTTATAGGGTTTGGGTTATTTTTTTCAGATTTTATATCAAATTCATTAATATTACTTAGTATTACTTTTTAATACTGCATACTTTAGGCTAAACATTTATGATTCCTTCTACAAGCTTCTAACCTAAGTTTGTTATAATTTAAAACGTTTAACTAATCGCAAATTATCTACTTTATATTCAGATACTGAAAGAAAATTGTTATTTGTATTTATTTTAAGTATGTGTAAAAATCTTGTTCTGACCAGAAATTATAATATATAATGAGTTTTGGTCTCCTATATAAAAGCAATAAGTTCAAAGTCTGTAGCTTTAACAGAACATTAACATTTGTATGCTTACTCATTCACTAAGACGAATTAAGCCCTGAGAGCTGCAATATGAAGAGCTAACAAACTGGTACTCAATGGAAGGATTTTCTTTTTTTTATTTGCTATGTTGAGAGTAATTACTGCCTTAAAGGTATAGAGCTCAATCTTTTATTTCCAGATGGATCATCTAAAGAAGTGGTCCTCCTAATTATTAATCAGCCTAGTGATATGTTTACATAAGGCTGTCTGGTTATAGCAATTTTTTTCTGTGCATTTGCACTTTCAGGCATATATCTGTGGTGAGCTACGGTTCCAGATAGTCAGACAAGATCACCTTTTTCACCCTGGTTCTTTGAAAATGGCCGAGGGTCATAAGAGAAAAAATTTTTACAAAGTGTATAAGAAGAAAAGAAAGGGATTAGAAGAGGCAGATATAGAGCTCTCCTTACAAAGCATAATGGGATTTGCTATCACAGCTGCCTGCTGTCGCCATAGGCTGTCAATGCGCGACAGAGGTACCTGATAACAAAGATGGCGCAGGCACCGCATGGTGGAGGAGTTACATGACCAACGGGGAGCAAACATCAGTGAGCGTCTGTCGGAACGGTCAGTTGACTGAGTTCTCGATAAAGTCCACTATTTAGTAACCGCTCTATATAGTGCTGGAGGGATTTAGGGATTAGGGCGGACGTTCGGGCACAGTAAGCTGGTATGAGCTATGAGAACAGCAACTTTTAAACAGAATGTGCACGAAGAGAAATAGGCGTTTAATAGGCATTCCCTCTTGGGAGCTGGTACAGGGTTGTGCAAGTGGAGAGGGCGGGTGTTTTAAACTTACGAAAATCATCCACAATACCTTTAAGTTCTGTCCAATGGATATTGCATTTGACAGAAATGTAATTTTAACACTGAAGTTTGTGTGATTTCTGCCTCTGTGATGAACAGAGTTGTTACTCTAATCGGCCCTCCTGTCCAAATTATCTGTATCAACAGTATATAAGCAAGCGTTGCAGTGATTATGCAAGTTTCAATTTTTTCAACTGTTAAAACTCTCAACAGTTTGGTTAATTCTGATGATTCTCCACTTACAGCTAATGAAAACAGGACCTTTATTAACAATGTTGCATCAGACCAATAAGAAAAAACATATACTCTAATAGTGAAATGTGGGCCTTGTTGGAACAAACACTGCTTCATTTGAAAAGAATGTTTTAATTAAAAGTAATGTTTTATGCTTTGAATGTTAAAAGTATAATGGAGGATTTTTGTGAATTCTTGAAAAGACCCTCCCTCTCCACCTAAATAAAAAAGTACATGCACAACGCGTGCGAGAGCATGAACAAGCCCATTTCTCCTTGTGAACGCTCTGTTTAAAAGTTGCTGTTTGCATCACTCGTACAAGCTTACTTTCCTAAAGAAGATTTGCAATTTTTACACTATGTCGGCTCACCACTGTTAAGTGAAAATGGAGGCAAGCACACAGGGAGGCCTTACGTAAACATATCACCAGAATAATTGACAATTAGGAGGACCAATTATTTTGATGATCCACCTGGAAAAAGAACATCCTCCACTACACCCTTAACATATGCACTAGAAGTTGTCTTTTTGGTGCTTTAGTTTTTTAAACATTGTCTTTTGATTTGCTGAACACTCTGAAGGGCCGGTGTAAATCGAAACCTGTGGAGAACAAGTACTTATAATGATTCACTGTGTTTGTAAAGCTTTGGCTAAAACTTTACTCAAAGATCAGATGTAACTTAGACTTTGAGCACTGGACAGATGTATTACAGGACCACACACACTCACAGGCTAAAGAATTGGCCAAACGACCAAAAAAAAAAACCTGGAGTCAGCAGATACAATGTGGTACTCTAAGGAAGAAAATTGGAATGTTTTACATGCAGAATGTCCACTTTTCTTTGTGCAGATCTCAAAACCTAGTGTGGGAAAATCTGAGTTAAACTTCATTTAACAGAAATCATTTTTTTATTTTATTTTTAAAGAAAAAAAACATTTTAAATTTGTGATGTTGTAGACATTTTCACATAACAGTTCTGACATTGCTGTTTCTTTTAAAGGAGCAATAAGCAAATTTTCAATACTAGGTGCGCTGTTGAGCACTGTCTGTAGGCCAAAACAACACTACATTTTAATACAACGTTCTATCAAGCTCTGAGTAGCAGCTGTTCATACATGCATGTGCATTTATTCGCACGTGTCGCAGCTATGTAAACAAGAGAATGAAGAACAATGCAGAGATGGTGTGTGATGTCTTAGTATAGATCATCTGAAAAGTTACCTTTAGTTCTTCACAAAACTATATTTTAAGTTCTTTTTATATAGAATTCACTTATTGCTCCTTTAAGTAATGCATGGAAGTTATATATAGAGTTATGAGGAACATTATGTTGACTGAGGTTTTCTTTTAAAATGATGAACAAAAGAAAGGCTCTGACTCCTTCAAAAAAAATCATTAAACCTTGACCTCACGTTGGACAAATTTCCTGAGCTCATTTCTTTGTTCAGGGAGAATATAAAAGGATGTGCATTTATTAGAGCCTTGAAATAACAGAAGGTTTTTTCCTGCCCAAGAGCTTTTCCTCAAAAGCTAAAATTAACTCCTTTATTGTGCTGTGAACATTTCTTTATTCCCCTAAAGAGGTATTCTGTTTTTGCTTTTTTAGCACACTTGGATGAGCTCATCAAAGATGGTCTGATAAAATCCAGTCCACATGTCATTTGTTCACTTTCTTTGTTAAATTAAAACCAATAATTCAAATATGAAAAACAAATGTTTGTATTTTTTGGAAATTAATTTCATAAAATAATATGGTAAAAGAGAGAGCAGTTAAATGTTTGACTTCTAATTCCCCTAATGAAATAAACATAAAGATAATGGATAATATGACGTAAAAGTGGCAAAAAGATACCACAACATAGCTAGCTTAACAGTAAAGGATTTTCAATGGCAGCTTATAAACTCAATGCATATCATATATCAATTAAGACATCCTAGCAGTAACCATGCAAACTGCTAATAAATGGGTCACCTTATAAATGTAACGTTGTCATATTAGCTTTCTTAAACTGTTTATAAACATCGCTGAAATTATATTATTATACTTTGTAATGTAAACATAAGAATGTATAAAATGCCTTATTGATTTATGCAGTATTTATCATTTGGAACACTAAATTGCAAGAATTGAGAGGCTCTGCAGGTTCAGGTACCCTATACCAAAACAGTTAGAGCTTCTAGAAGCCTGCACTACCGAGACTTAAAAAACATTTGGGCCATTACATACTCTTCTCCCTATTAGATAATTTCTTTATGCGAAATAACTGGAGTGGATGTGGGAATGAACATAATTCACATCATAATCCAGATCTGTCAGGTGTCAGAACAGAGGACCCAGTATTCAAGGCAAGACAGACAGTGGGATAATTCAAATGCGTTTATTAAAACACATTGTGCTGCGGGTCTGCAGTAGCTAAGGCGTCTATCACAGGAAACTCTGGTTTATCAGCTCAGCCCTTGTCCCGAGAACGAGATAGGATCCAGTCGGTGGACAGCCAAAAAGATGCGGCGGGCACCGTCCAGAGTGTCCAAGACATTGCAGCCCCTGACAACAACCAGGAGTCCAAAGCCACATCAGGCAAACAGATAAGAACAGGAATGCTCAAGGGTCCAGGAGTCCGAAAACAGTTCAGGCAAACCATTCAGAAGGGAACAGACAGGCTCAGTGGCTGAGAGGCAGAACAGGTCAGGATTCAGGTAATTAGAAACACTAAGGGAAGCTTAAAACCACTCTCACCACTGGCTAGAGAAAACAAGAATAATCTGGCCCTGATGACAGGATGCAAGCAGCTTAAAAATATGCAGGAGCAGGTGGATCAGATGAGCAATCATTAGAAACTAGACAAAGTTGGACAGGTGAATGAATGAATAATTAAGCCAGTTATCAGCGCCAAGATCATGTCAAGATCCTTATATTGATTTGTGATTTTTTTTTTATTAATAGAATGATAGATTTAGATTTTTTTTTTATTAATGGAAGAGTAATCTAGACCTAGCAGCTGAACAGGTGCATTTGTCTTATTGAATACAGCCATCTTGCACATGTAATCCAGCATGCTAATGTGTTTGTAATTTTGCTCATAAAGGTACAATGGTATAGGAGCCCAAAACAAACGTTAAAAAAAATGAATTCATGTGCTCTCTTTTTAAGGCCTGTTACCAAAAAATCAATTAATTTTATAATACATTTCAAGGAGCTCAATTTACATTTTCCTATGATTTGTTTTTCTTCGTGTCATGTGTTTTTGTAATGAAGAGTCTGAATCAACTAAAGGTTTCACTCCTGTGAATCGGTCTCCACTCACCACTCCCCTCATCGCTTCCCGAGCTGCAGAAAGCCTGAGAAATGCTAGTTGTGCAGTGCAATGTTGGAGGACCTTTGGAGTCAAACTAAATGACAATATTATCATTTATTGCAATAAATTCTGGGGCAATTTATCGCTCAGCAAAATGTGTTAGCTTACTTCTCTGCTTCTTGTATAACGATTTTTGATCTGTAAAGGAAAATGTGACAAACAAATCTGTAAGATGGGAAATAGGATTTTCTGCTTACCTTATGTCTACCTATAAATGGAAAAAATCCGTCTGAATAGGCAAATGGACTGAAATAACAGACATTTTATGAGGTTAACAACTAGCTCTTGTTTTTCTCCCCCTTCTCTGTAGTCCATTGAAGAAGTCAGTGGCTACGTTCTGATTGCCCTCAACACAGCTCCCAAGATTCCTCTGCAGAATCTGCGGATCATCCGAGGTCACGCCCTCTATGAGGGAAAGTTTGCGCTTTCTGTGCTCGCCAATTTTGAGACAAAAACAGGTCAAGGTACCACCGAGCTTCTCCTGACCAGCCTAACAGGTAGAGGGAGCCCTGAAATGATCTTGTCTTCTATAGGCCTATGCATGAAATGAAACAGTGAAATGGCTACATTAGAATTGCAATTCATGTTTTTTCATTAGAAATTCTCAAAGGAGGTGTGAAGTTTAGCGGCAACGGCAAGCTTTGTAATGTGGAAACCATACAGTGGTTTGATATCGTCAATACTGAAGATGAGCATAAGCCCAGCCTGGAACTCCCAGTGGCTGGAAACAACCCCAATTGTAAGTGCTCTCAGTTTCAACACTGGAAAAATTAGCAAAACTCTATATTTCTCTGTTAATTTGTGCATATTAAAACAGGAAAGTGACCTATGTTTCTTCTTTACAGGTAAGAAATGCCACTCAAACTGTTTCAATGGTTCATGTTGGGCTTCTGGTAAAGAAAACTGTCAGACCTGTAAGTTCTTGTTGATGTTTTAATCCCTTACCACAAAATGATCTACTATACACTTAATTGTATTTAAAGTATTTTCCATCCATCATTATGTTAGTATTTTGAATATTTTAAGCATTAATGGATTGGCTGTTTTTTGTGTCATTTCATAAATATGTACATTTAAGAAATAATCTTTGGTAAATGATAAACCCTCTGTATTGTTGTTGTCCTCTCCAGTAACCAAGCTGAACTGTGCACAGCAGTGCTCCAAGAGGTGCAAAGGACCATCACCAAGTGACTGTTGCAATGAGCATTGTGCAGCTGGATGCACGGGGCCCAGACCCACAGACTGTCTGGTGAGACAAAGATCTTATGCAGAGGACAACTAATGAATACACTGCATATTTAATCGTGTTCTATTAAATCTGGACGAGGACTCTGTTTTACACTCAGCCCTCACTAGGCAACCTCTGTTTTATGGCTAGAGATGATGTTTTTGTTTTAATACCAGAAAGACACATAACTGCTGATTAAATCTTTTATTTGGCAGGGCCTTGAGTACCAGCGTTTGCTCTCGCTCTCTAAGCAACTTTGAGAATTTAGCCAAGGCTGGGATAGAGGAATGCAGTGTTATCATTAGGAAGGGGCTGTGTTTTGGTCGTGGCGCACTAGATGACTGATGTTTGTGCTGCAGGCCTGTCGGGCCTTCCAGGATGATGGGGTGTGTAAGGACTCCTGCCCAGGGCTCCAGCGCTATGATCCAAACCTGCACCAGCTGGTCCCCAACCCACATGGAAAGTACAACTTTGGGGCCACTTGTGTCAAAAGTTGTCCACGTAAGTATACAGTCAACATTTGTTCTCTTAATATATTTATATATATATATATAAATATATCTACATATCTATATCCTATACAGTATATTGCTCTTTGCTGACTTCTCAAACAGTATGCTTTAAAAACTACCTATCCTGTTGGACTTTTTAAATCAAAAGTATTGATTGTGCAAGATACTATAGCATTTGGCCACAATGTAGAGTTATTTTATTTTTTTTATTTTGGGTTGTCTTTAGTTAGTCATAGTCTTAAGGTGCTTAACCTTAAAAAGAGTCTGACTGTGCAGACAGGGGAAGACACTTTGAAGAGGATAGTTGATAGCAGTGGTGTCAAAAGTACACACATTTGTTATTTAAGTAGAAGTATAGATACTGCAGTTTAAGTATCAACTTGACCTCTTTACTCAAGTAAAAGTTAAAAAGTATGTGTTCCAGAAACTACTTAAAGTATAAAAGTAAAAAGTAACCTTTAAAAAAACAGCCAGATGCCACTATTGAATATATATTTAATTGAAAGCTCAGTTTTGAGATAAGGCCAAGGATGAGGGAGGTCTTGTTGGTCTCCATCTCCTGATACACTCTCACCTGTGTCCAACCTTTCAGACATTTCAACATCCTTTTCTGAATCCAACATTGTAGCATGGCATAGACAATTCACCTTTGCAGTTTAAAGAACACCTCTTTGCTTCTGATGATTTCCTTTAGCTAACCAATGAGTTTTTGCGTTATATGACTCATCCAATTACGCTAGTTTTCACTAGATGTGGATGGCGCCAATGATCTGGAGTAAAGTATAGATACCTAAAATGTGTACTTAGTACAGTAACAAAGTATTTGTACTTTGATACTTGACACCTCTGGTTGGTAGTATGCACAACTCACACAATGCAAGATCAGAAATGTGTTGTTTTTGTGCTATACTAAACATTTGCTCAGGTTGTCCTTCTGGGTTTTTAGACATTGAATGGAGAGTTTGTTCAGGTTAAATAATAAACTTTTAAACAGGGGAAGAGAATGATTGAGTTTCTGGGCTTGTTAATGTGACATCCCATGGTTTAGAAGCCTGGCTGCATACATTACTAAGCAGCTAGATGCATCTACAGCCACACTAATGTATAACTGACACAAGCTGCTCCTCAAAATTACTTAAAGATTTTTATGTTTTCTGTCTGTTCATTATAATACTCAGACTATGCCTGATGAACGTGATACATTTCTGACCTAAACACCTACTACTTTCCTCATATTTACAGATAACTATGTTGTGTCTGATCATGGTGCTTGTGTGCGGGCATGCAGCGGTAACACATATGAAAAGGATGAGGGAGGAGTACGAAAGTGTGTCAAGTGTGACGGACTGTGCCCAAAAGGTCAGCAGCTCTTATTGCCTACAATGAAGACATTTTTGAATATATAGTATATAGACTGTATTTTTAGCACATATACTAATAAAAGAATGGAATCCTACAAGCTTTTAATTTTTTTAATGGCTTCACGTTACTATTTTTGTGTAATGATACACACTTTTTTTTAGATCTCCTATTTTGATGTTTTCCAGGAACGAATTGGAAAGTAAATAGATGTCATTTAGAGTAAGAGCATTTAGTTTATATGGTCTTAAATCATATACGGGGCCAAAAAGAACATTATAAAGTGACAAAATTTTATTTTAAGCTCAAATAAATTGAATTATTTATCAATGCTCTAGTTTTGTTACATAATACATCTTTGCCAATTGACATCATCTCAGCCATTAACACCTACAATTCAAGTTGTTGTTATAAGAAATACTGTTACAGTATGTTTTTTCAGATGTGCAGTATTTTTTTTTTCTGTGATATATCAGTGATTGTAAAACTTGTTTTTTTCTTCATTGTTTAAAGTGTGTAACGGACTTGGAGCAGGAGAACTGACTCACACCCTGTCTATCAATGCCACCAACATTGGCTTCTTTAAAAACTGCACTAAGATCAATGGTGACATCACTATCATTAAAACATCGATCCATGGGTACGTTCTGACTGTTTTTTCTGTCTTTTGCTCTCAGAATCAATTCTGTTGATTATTTGAATGTGTTTTTTTCTGTTTTTTTGTTTTTGTTTTAAGGGATCCTTTTACTAAAACACCAAAGATGGAACCGGCTCAGCTGGACGTGTTCAAAACGGTTAAGGAAATTACAGGTGAGATTTCATGAAGTTTGATGAATGCATGACAAACTTAATGTGCCTTCACAATAAACGATCACCTGTTGCTTCAGGACACCTGTGGATTCAAATATGGCCAGATACCATGAAATCACTCAGTCCTTTTGAAAATCTGGAAATAATTCGAGGGAGAACAAAACGGTAGGTTTGTTGTATAAAATAAAAAAAAAACATGAATTTTCCCACTGCTTCAGCAAAATAGTGAAATTACATTTGTGTCATGTTCATTTAGAAACTTTGTCATCAAGTTATTACTATAGCTTACCAACTTCCTTGTGCTAAAATTGTCACACTTTTTTTTTAATCTTAGATGCTTCTAAGATAAATTTATAACAAGCTATATAACTATTAGTTGGGGACTTCTTAAAATGTAAAAAGAATATGTATTTATATGGTTTTAATTGTGCCCTTGTTCTTTGGATAGCGGTGGCCACACTTTAGTTGTGACCCAGATCAATGCCGACTACCTCGGCTTCCGGTCACTAAAGGAGATCAGTGACGGGGACGTGGCCATTATCAAGAATGAGAAGCTCTGCTATACGAAGGAGAGTCACTGGAAGAGGCTCTTCAGATCAAAGAGTCAAACTGCAACAGTCAACGACAACGCAAATGCTACCACTTGTGGTGAGATCTTACCTGCTTGTCAACGTTTATTTTAAATCTTTCTTGCAAATTTCGAAACTGGTGCAATTATCAAGAACTTTGCTTAAAATTCCACATCTGGTTTTAGCCCTAAGCAAAAAGACCTGTGACAGGAAGTGCACAGCGGACGGCTGCTGGGGCCCAGGCCCGGACATGTGTTTCGCCTGTCATAACTACAGCCGTGCTGGGAGTTGCGTTGACTCCTGCAACATCCTGGAGGGGTAAGGGAGGAATCTAGGCACGAATCCCTTTTAAGTGTTGAAATCTGCTGTCCTTTATTTCAGATAAACAAACAGACTGAAGATTCAGTCGCTTTTTCATAATCTATTTTCATACCATGAGTATTTCCAGACTGTGTCATTAGATAAATTAAAGGATTATTGAAAGAAAGCTAAAGATCCAGGGTATTTTGAAAGTTAAATCTCAGGAAGATGTAAGACAAACATTGCTGAAAAATGGCACATAGCACTCACATCTGTTTATCTTGGGGATATTTGTCAAACATTAAATCTTGACATGCTTACAGTTTAACTTGGCCCTCCAAAAACCAAATTGAATAAAGCTGTTTGAAATTAAGCTCCCCTGCAGTAAAAGCCTATTAACATTGTTATTGTTGTATTTTTTGTTTTTTTTTGTAGAGAGCCACGGGAGGCGATCGTGAATAAAACCTGCATGGAGTGTGACCCTGAGTGTCTACGCATGAACGGCACTGCAACCTGCCGGGCGCCTGTATGTGTGTCATCTGTACTTACAGAGAATACAATCCACATCTTTCATAGCACATCTGTGCACATAACTGATGAACACCTTATCATTAATGCTGCATAAAATCCCTCTCAGAAATGTCAGCGATTTCTCAATCAGCAGCAGCTTTAGCAGATAATACAGCAGGGCAGCCACAAGACATGTTGTGTTTTGAAGGAGGGGTGTGACTGTGGGATGAAGTTAGCTAACTGTTTGGGTTTTTTATGTACGTAATCCTGTCTTTTGATTAAAAGGAGTTAAGGCCTTCACTTTTTTAAATATTACTTGGAAAAAGCAGGGCATCATTATCAACAACAGAATTGCTGACCGAGTCAAAATGCATGCTTATGGTGTTAAAGTGTTTAGCTTCTGCACTTAAAAACAGTGCCTTGCAAAATTAACCAACCCACTGGAATTTGTCCATGTTTTATCAAATTACAGCCACAAACCCTCTATGTATTTTAGGGGCTTCAATTTCACAGAACAATGTTAAAGGGGAATTGCAAATTTTTAAATGTCAAATTTTTTTGTCTTTCCCATTAATGCCGTAAAATGAGCTTTCCACCATTTACCACAGTTTCCTCTTTAGGATCCATCAATTAGTTCGTGAGAGAGTGACTTGGCTTTTATTCTCTGGGTGTTTGTGGGTGTGGCTTGCTGCACAGTCTTTTATTTGGATACTTTTGTTGAGTGTCCGCTGCCATTGACACATTAGCCAGAGGCAGCACAGGTAATTGTGTCTGAACATGGAACACAAAAGAAACTGAAAAACTGAACACCCTTTCAGTTCCAGCTGCAGATGCTTTTTTTTTCTATCCTCTCCTATGCACGTGCACAAAACTGGTGTAGATTTAACCTATTGCATGAAGACGCAAACTTCTGTAAAAACTCTTGAAGTGTTGCTATGCTCCTTTAAGTCGCTCATAATGGTAAGAAAAGGAATATAATGTAAAGAAAAAAAAAAAAGATCGCAGACATATGTATTCAGTCCCACTGATTCAATACCATGTAGAACGAAAGTTTGCAGCATCTGTAGCTGTAGTTTGAATCGAACTTCAGTGATCATCGATTTTTGATTTCTTGACAAACGTTTTCATCTTGGTTTAGCTCTATTCTTTGACTGGGCTATTCTATCTTCCAGATGGACTTGTAGTTAAAACGTTTCATCATGCTCCAGCATGCATGTCTGTGGTTTACTTGCTGCCATCATTTTATTTAGGGATTGTTTTGTGTTTTTGTAAATCCATTTTTTCATGAACTCAGGTAAGGCTTCTGTGCTGCCAACACAAATCTTTTATCAAACTGAAATTGTATTCACAGGCTTTAGAGTGAAAGTGGGTCAATGCAAATCCGTGCTACACTTTTCAGATTTTAAGTTATTAAAAGATGTTTTATTTTTCTTCAAGGTGTATGGATTTTGCAAGGCACTGTATAAAACATATCTATAGTTTTGTATGGAAGATAGAAGCTGCATCTGTAATGATGTGACATCATGTGTAATATTTTGGCCACTTTCTTCAGAGTTGTAATCATCCAAACTATTTTGTCTCTCCCAGGGTCCTGGAAACTGCACAAAGTGCGCCAACTTTCAGGATGGACTGTTCTGCGTGTCACGTTGTCCCCAAGGCATCCCTGGAGAAGATGACACCCTGGTGTGGAAATATGCAGACAAGGAAAGAGTCTGCCAACTGTGCCACAAGAACTGCACTAAGGGGTAAACATGGCTGGAAGCAGAGAACTGAGCAGAACATTGAGTGTCTGACTTGCAGATATTTGTTTGTCACAGTGAGTGGAGTCCTAAAGGGCTCAGCCACTTTTACAGAAGTTAGGAGATTGTATTGGAGACTTAACATGAGGAATAGACAAATAATTTGGTCTGTTTTTCCATTTCTTTTCTTGCCATCCTCATTCGATGTCTCCATTGGTTTCCCCTCTTTTTCATTTTGTTTATTTATTCTTTATTCTCTGGCTGCAGTGTTTTATTTTAGCTGTCTGTGCTCCTTTGTGGAGCAAAACATTGCCGATGCCAACCCTGAAATCAGGTCAAATGAAACCAGTGATATATAATCACCACTGAGCCTTGGTGGTAAACGGATGAGTGAGAAGGAACATGGTTCTGACATACCTTCAAACCACCGAGAGCAGTTATGTTTCAGGGGTCTTTTGTTTGTCTTGTGGGGAAAGAAGAAACTGATACCTTTTTCTAAAACATGTCAGTAGTGTGGAAATAAATAGTTCCCCGCTTTCCCCAGTTATTTATGAATTCATTTAGATTATTTAGTCTGAGTTGAATATTGTTGCTGGCAGAAGTAAAGAGAAAAACAAAGTGTAGCAATAGGGATCTTGTTTTTTATGGCTAATAACTGCAAAGCCTTGATTAGCTTCCCAGTTAACCTTGTTTTATTGGTGTGTTTTCAGGTGTACCGGACCAGGCCCTGATGGTTGCCGAGGTGAAAGGTGAGCTTAGAATTAAGTGAATGGGCTTGAGTTACTAACTGTTCTGAAGAAGTTTGGCATAAACAAAATAAACACATTAAAGAAAGAACCCTGAAGGGGAAAGGTATTTGAGACCATTTAGAAAGAATTTGTTTCAGGTGTTTTTCGTCAGCAGAATTCATTTTTTTCACAGTTTGTGTAAGGGAGGAAAGTAGTCATTTGATTTGCCATGGTAAATGTTTTTCTTTTTTAATCTACTTGCTTGATTTACTTTTTATTCCCCTGCTTTTATCTGACCTTTTTTTGATTTTTGTCCTTCCTTCCTTCCTTCCTTCCTTCCTTCCTTCCTTCCTTCCTTCCTTCCTTCCTTCCTTCCTTCCTTCCTTCAATTTTCCTGCTTTAAAACAATTGTTTCTATGGAAATATCTACAGTATCTAAATAAAATACTTTTGTTTAGATGAACCTAACGAATAGAGAACTCTGGGGAATTGGATTGGAATTTGGGACAGTGTAGTCCTTTGACATGAAAGTTGTTTAGGAACCCTGATAGAATGACAAATATTTGTTATCCACCAAGTTTTATTTATCAGAGTTTAAATTATATTAAAAAAATTTGATTTGCATTATTGCATAAACAAAGCAGATCTATGAAGACCACCAAAAAAGAAGTAGTCGATCCTGGAAAATGTTACTAATTTATCACTGGAGTCTGTTTGGACTCCAGCAATCCACAGTCAGACAGATTGTGTACAAATGTGGGGAAACTCAAGACCATTGTTACTCTGACCAGAGCTGGGTGACCAACAACTATTGGTCATGTCATGAAAAAACCCAGTATAACTTCTAAGAAACTGAGCAGCCCTTTCCCACATTGGCTCCATTTTAAGGGCGTCATCATGAGAATGCTAACCAACAGTGGTGTTCATGGAAAAAGCTGCTGCTTGCCAGAAACAAGCCTTCCTACCTGTATACAGATTTTCACAGTAACTGTGCACAGACTGTTTGATTTCAGAGCTAGCTGTTGAGGTGCAGCAGAGAAGTATGCGATCTGTTTTGTTTATGATCGACCAAAAATTATGATTTGCTGTGATTTTTAGTCAATGCTATGATTCCAAAGTAAAAGACAAATTGTAAAGAAAAAAAAGGACCATGCAGTTGTGTCTGTAAAGGCAAAAGCAATCAATTCAAAGCTGTTCTGTACAAAGGAAAGAGCTTAAATAACATATAAGCAGAAAGAATGAAAACTAGGCATTAAAATATTTATGTAATATACAACTGGGAACAATTATGTTCCCTTTTTATTAAAAATGGGCAAAAGACTTAGTTTATTTCTTTTCTTATAGCACATTAGTCAGATACTGAACACACAAAAAAGTCAGACTTCTCTTTACAGCCTTTAATTGTGTTCATTTCTCTAGTAGATGTAGGTGTCAGGATTGAGATCTCAGTTGAGGACAGGGGACTATCTATGTGTTTTCAGCTTATTGTTTAGGATCATTAAACTTTCAAAAAGGCTCAGTGATGAGGCACTTTTTGTTCTCTGAGGGTAGCTCAATCTAGATTTTATTTAAAATATGTATCACAAAGATTGCATAGGGCTATCGCCTCCCAGGGGTGTTTGGAAAAGAAACTGACCCAAAATATTACTCTTGCTCCAACATGCCTAACAGTGGGCAGGAGATGTTTCTCAAACGATTGGTCAGCATGTAGATAATATCTCATGGTGACCCAAAAATGCTTTCTTCACTTTGTAAGATGGCAAGATAAAAATGTTTCTTTATCCAAGCAGTAGGTAAAAGAACATGACATTTGTGTTACATTCTATTTAAATCCCAGAAATTACTGAGACTAAAGAATTAAATGTCAAAAAATAAAGCTAAAACGTAAAAAAAATGCCTTTATTGCATTTATAGTAATTGACTTTAAAGATGCCATTTTTCAATTTATTAATACTTTATTTATTTATTTCAATTAATTAATAATTCTGTTCTTTTTGTCTGTCTTCTTATACTGTATGTCTTCATGCAGTATGTGAGGAGTCTTAAAATTTTTATTCCACGTCTTTAAGGTCTTCAGGCCTGTCCATGATTGCAGCCGGGGTTGTTGGTGGGATGCTGGCCGTTTTGATCGCAGGCCTCTCTGTCTTTGTGCTGCTACGTCGGCGCCACATCAAAAGGAAAAGGACGATGCGCAGACTGCTCCAAGAGAGACAGGTGGGGAGAGATAGTTAAGGCTCAAGACACCCACTTAAATGTTCTATTCAGCTACTTTCTTATGGGTTTTCCTTCCTCTGTGCAGCTGGTTGAACCTCTTACTCCAAGTGGGCAAGCACCAAACCAAGCCCTGCTGCGGATACTGAAGGAACCAGAGTTTAGGAAAATTAAGGTTCTGGGATCAGGAGCTTTTGGTACAGTTTACAAGGTAATTAGAGGTTTGGCTTGTATAATACTTATTGTAAAAATTGTAGAAATTCCAGCGCTGAGCAGTTTTGAAACTAGCTGTGTTGTGCCAAGTTTTCACAGAGCTACATGTGTTTTAAATTTTTCAATTACAGCACATTTTTGACTTGCTACCTCATGCATGACTGGCTTCTTAGTTGCTGTCAAAGCTGTTTCTATAATCATATTTGGAGATTTGCATTTAGGATACAAACATAGGAGCTCTTAAGAAGTGTGTGCATACAAATCATTGCAATAATTTGGTATATTATGTACTAATTTATGTTTATGTGATATCTTGAGATTTTAAGTATAGAAAGTCACAAAGAAAGCTGTGTCCTTCCAGGGTCTTTGGGTCCCAGAAGGGGAGGATGTGAAGATCCCAGTGGCTATCAAGGTTCTGAGAGAGGCCACATCACCAAAAGCCAACCAGGAGATCTTGGATGTATGTTCTCTATGTTTTATTTGTACAATTCAGCTAATGATTCTGCAAAATAAGGAGACATACTTTAAAAATGGTGTAGCCAGAGCCTGACACCGCCCATGAGCATCACTCCCTGGGCTCGGGGCACCCAAATGGGTACACTACAACTACCCAGGTGTTGTTCAGGTGGTTTAAAATGAAAATGAAACAGTTAATCTAAATTTCGTTGACATAAAGATCAGCTGTGGATTTAATGTGTTGCACAATGTAGTTTTCTTCCGGATGTCAACCTGACTGGAATTCTTCTTGCAGTTTATAGTACATCCAGGCTATTCTTAAACTAACTTGGGTTTGCTTTCTTTGCCATGAAGAATGTGTCACATTGCACATGAAGTCTCTGGTGGAGTTTTGGGAAGTGCGCTTTATTCATTGGAGGACATCATGTGGGCGTTAGTATGTAATTACAAAGCTGAGGTGCTGTTTAAAGAAATGCAGCTCTGAAGCTGCAGCCTCTTCTGAATGCATCTTTGCAAACAGACAAATCAGCGTCTCAAAGCTTGTGTTTTGTGGTCGAGCTGCTGGGTTTGCTTTATTCATAAATTATGTCATGTACGTGGAGTCGCATAAAAGTTTGACTGCGGGGCATTGAAAAACAAAGATTAAGATCTTTGAAGCCTCCCTTTTTATCTTGCTGTCAGAGTTACAAAGCTCCACGGAAAGAGTGTATTTACTGAACGACTGACACGCAGTAATAAGCATGAAGGAAATATTGGGCCTGCAATTATTACAGTGGTGATATGGAACCTACTAAGTAAAGCTTAGGTTTAAGTACTGTTTGCTCATGTCCTCATGCAAGAGGCCAGAGCTAATTTTCTTTTCTTTTTTTTTTTGTTTGGCCCTGTGCAATTTTTTAAGCAGCTTTTCTGGTATGATGACTGAAAGTTTCCACTCTCAGGCAATAAAAACGAGCTGGCTGTGTATGGCTGCTGCTAAGAGACTTATCCTGCAACACTCTGTATCCCGCAGATGTTTCTCAAGCTATCAGTTGCCTAGATAAACATGCACATTTCTACCAAGGGTTCTGCAAAATGGGCTGCAAGACACAAGTTTTTTTTTTTTTCTTTTTTCAGTTTTGTTTCGATAAAAAATCCGATGAAACATTCTATATGCTTATGTGCATTTCAGGAAGCTTACGTGATGGCCAGTGTTGATAACCCGCATGTATGCCGTCTGCTGGGTATCTGCCTCACCTCGACGGTGCAGCTAATAACTCAGCTGATGCCTTATGGCTGCCTGCTGGACTACGTGAAAGAAAAAAAGGACAACATTGGCTCCCAGCACCTGCTCAACTGGTGTGTTCAGATAGCAAAGGTATAAAAAAAGAAATACATCTCTTTTTACTTTAATATATATTATAAAGCATTATGTTTCACCTTGATAGGCAATCCACCTGACATGTTAAACTTTTATTGAAGAGTTTCTCTGGTGGCAACACTCAATCCAAAACCACTTCTTTGATTAAAGGGTATGAACTACCTGGAGGAACGCCATCTAGTGCACCGTGACCTGGCAGCCAGAAATGTCCTGGTCAAGACTCCCAGTCATGTCAAAATCACCGACTTTGGGCTGGCCAAACTCCTTAACGCAGATGAGAAAGAATACCACGCAGAAGGAGGAAAGGTCAGTTACATCTAAGGAGTAGTATGATGTTCCTTTTTAATGCTGGTGATGGCGCTATTGATGGGAGCCCATCACTATATTTGCATATCCCACCGAGGAGCCTGTTTTCATGCAATATAACAGCATTGTTTCTCCTGTTTTGTGTTCCTTTGTTGTTACTGTATTTCTTTTGGGAAATATACTAGAGGTTGTAATTATTACAAAATTTCTTAGCTGAAGCATGCATTTAAATCACCTGTAGTCTCAAAACAGCAACAATCACTGATTTTATTTCTGTTTTATCACTTCATTTGTTCATTCTCCATTTTAAGCATCTATTTTATTGGCTTATTTAACATTTTCTTCTCCCAACCCAGTTTGGTCAGAACAACTTACACAGCCCTTTGCTCAACTAAAAGACCCCAAAACAAGACTGGCAGGTCTAACTTGCCTTAGTTAAGGTCAAAGTTCATGCCTCCATTATAAGAAAAACTAAAAATGGCCTGTATAGCTGAGATCTAAGAGGAGCATTAAGGAGCATTAAAGTGCTTGTGGCATCATTACAAATCCACTATTCCTAGCTAGGGAAGTCAAAGTTGGAAATGAAAGAATAAGAGGCTAATTGTCATTTAGCAAAACATGCAAAACAAATGTCCCAAAATCACACATTTTAACATTTATTTGCTGCATTAAAGCTGCCTAGTCAAAGAAAATGTGAAAAGTGTGTCATAGTGCAACTTTTATCTTTAATAAAAATATCTTCATCATCAAGCATACATATCTACATACTGTGTTCATAACATATAATAGCATTAATCAGTGAAACACAGACTTTGAGCAGAGCTGGGTTTTGGTGGATTTTCTATTGTTTTTTAGGAATAAAATGAACAGGATTTACCTTTGCAGATGATCTCTCATAATTGATCATACTAATTCTGGTTTTTCATCATTAAAAGTGTGGATCTCTAAGGCTGCATTTGAGACAAGGAACTTTCTCACCTGCTGAGCCTGATCCATCTGCCGACAACCTTTTGTTTGGCAAACTTTTCATATTAGATGCAATGAAACGCATGGAACTTTCAATTACCTTTCAAATTTTCCTTCATCTCTAAAATATCAGGCCCATTGACATCTGAGATGTTTCTTGTTCAAGGCAGTTTGCAAAAATCCTTAGATCCCAAATGGCATTAGTCAGTCAGACCAGCCCAGCTATAGGCTACCCTGATAGTTTCACAGGTCTAGTCTGTTTTTGAAAAATAGTACAAGTTGATGTCTGGTGTCCCAGCATTCCTGCAACCAGGCAACAATTGGCTGTTTTACCATGTGAAAGCTTTTTAGTGATTTTTGGGAGGTGTGTTTCCCATTACATGGGGTAAAAGTAACACCACATTTCAGAAGAAAAACATAGAACCAGGAGTTATGGTGATGGTAGTTTGATGATCGGGGCTGCCTTTGCTACTTCAGGACCTGGAAAACTTGCTGAGATAAGTGGAATAATCAATTCTGTTGTCCACAAAACAAATCTGAAAATTAGGTTGTGACTTCAAGCTGAAACCAATACATACAATTTTGTTAAAACCCCATAAAATCCTTTTCTGTGTGGCTCTGTGGAAGTGAAACTCCAGCCTAAAGACTAAAGAAAAAAAAGAAAAGAAAATATTTTTGACGGACCTGACAAGAATATTTTTTAGACCTTTAAAGCCATTTTTGTGGCTATAGTGCAACATTCCTGTAAAGATGATTGGGATAACATTTTTGCACAGCGCTGTAAAATACTCAGGTTATCCCATTTTGTACTTACTTGTGTTGTTTTTGATAAATATTTAAACTTGTTTGATATTCAAAACATTGCAGAATAAGAAAGCAGGAAGGGGCAAACACTTTTTCCACACCACTACACATCTTGGCAACTCATATCAGGAGGAAAGATGCTTGGAATACCAAATACTTCCAAACATTTATACGCTGCAGGCTTAAAGTTTGGAGATTAAACTTAAACAAAAAATATATTATTGCAGGAAAACCATGTATCTAGTAAGCATACCCAGAATCCATGTTACTTTTTTTTTTTATCTGATAGAGGCGTTGTGGAAATAAACTTAAACCGTTGGTCAGTATTGGCCTGACATTTTTGGTCTGTGAGACAGAGAAAGGTTTACTGAAACTCATGAATAGCTTTGAGCAATTAGTTCTTTAAATGCTGTCAAAGACCTGGCAGCATGGGATCTAAAAGTTTTTAAGCCAATAAAACTATTTATAAGTTGTCGTTATGTCATACAATTTCTCATTCTGTGTTTATAGAAAATAAAAGCTTTAACTTGGCACTGGTTTTTGAGGAAATTTGTGAAACATCAAGTCTTTTTACATGCTTACAGTAGATCACTGGATCATTTGCATTGCATTTATGTTTTAGGCAGCAGCGAACTGCTACATGCAGTCTGACTGCATGTAGCTGAGATTGATAACACCTTTGATAACATAAGACCATGCATGAAAATACATTGCTGAAACAATATCAACTTAAAGCCTCACATATTTGCACACAGATTAAATGCCAGGCAAAAAAGTAATTGTGCAAAAGGAGGCTAATGCTTGTTTATGGTCTCACTCTTAATGAAACACACGAAGCATGCTAATTGGTGATCAAACTAAGAAAACAGATTCTAAGTGTTTTACCATAATAAGCTTATTCTATTAACCTGTTTCTCTTCCTCAGGTGCCAATTAAATGGATGGCTCTTGAATCAATCCTAAACAGGACCTACACTCACCAAAGTGATGTCTGGAGCTACGGTAAGACTAACGCTTTACATCCACCGGAAAAACTCGATATGCCCCAGATTGGGCTTAAAAAGCTTATGTAACTTTGAATGAATAAAACAGCTGGGTCTACGTACTTCACTAGAGTACCGATGACAGTTGGACAGAAGAATAAAGTGTTTTATCAGCAGTCAAAGCAGGCAGCGGATTCCTGTTTTGAACCTTAACACAGGATGTTGTTTTTGGAGCTTTAAAAGCTACGAAACATTTAAAAACCCATTAAAAAGGGAAACTTTCGTTCCAGAATCTGAGACAGTTAGAAGACACCTACACAGCAGCAGGTTCAGATGGATGATTTTTACGTCAAAAGGAAAACGTTATCTCATCCCACTCATCTTTCCTGCACTTCAGGATTATAAAGATACTGAGAAATGCCTACACACACCACACACTACTTACATACACACTGAAACCAAACACAGCACAGCTTCTCTACAGCAGGCCTATGTCCAACATTTTCTTCCCTGAGGGATTGATCACGCCTCCTGCTCAATCTGGCAAAAGCATCAGCAGATCCTACCAAAAGTGATGGACTTCCTTTCCCCCCCTCGCCTCCCTCAGTTCCTCCAAAGCAAAGATACATCCTGTCAACTCCCACTCCTGCATTCGGAGCCAGTTTTTACAGTTTGTGTGCGATATTTACCCAGAGAACATTTGGTCATTATTTGTTTCTTCTCTTTTATTGAGGTCAAAAACAAAAGTGATTGACAGCTCATGCGCCTGACATTACCAACTGCTTCTCGCATCTGTCCTGTAGGTGTAACAGTCTGGGAACTGATGACATTCGGGACCAAACCTTATGATGGGATTCCAGCCAGTGAAATAGCCGGGATTCTGGAGAAAGGAGAGCGCCTGCCTCAGCCACCAATCTGTACTATAGACGTCTACATGATCATGGTGAAATGTAAGCATGTTCCTCTGAATTTTGTATTTATTTTTTCAGTTTCCTACCATTACAACTGGAAACCTGAATGCAGTCTACTGGGATTAATTTAAAGTAATAGATAAAAAAATAAAAAAAAAAAAGTAGGGCACAATTGAACCTGGAATTAAGAATAATATGTGGTTTGCAATTTTTAACAAATAAAGGTAGTTTATTTCATAGGGTATCTTGATCTACACAATCAAACATCTTTGTTAACCCCTTAAACAAAGCATCATCCAGTCATTGTTTTTTACTGGCAGTTGTTGTTGTTCCGCATTGCTTTATAAAACCAGATGGATAAGTTCACAAAAAATCTGACCAACAAAAGCCTTGAGTGAGCTTTTCCGGGATTTTGGCTTGGACACATACTTTAGAGATTAGCCTGTAGTTGTTAATGACAGGAATCGCCAACTTTTAATAGCAGAAGAACAAGTGCTGACTTCCATGTTCCTGGAAGCAAGTGATGAATTTAAAATATATGTTCTATATATAAATATATGTTATCTAACAACGTCTGCAGCTACTTCTAGAAAAAAGAGGGGTCTAGTGTACCAGGGCCTGGGGATTTAGTGGTTTCCAGGTTTTTTAAGCTATTTAAACTTCAGATAAATTAAAATGAGTAATATTAAAAGACTGACCCCAACAGCAGTTAAAGGAAACAAAGCTGATCATTTCCGGACTTATTAAGGATGTTGTACAGAATCAAACAAGTGCCCAAAGAAAATAAAATGTTTGTTAAATGAGTCAGGGATTATAGTCCTATTAAAGATTATATTTCTTGAGTGAGCTTACACCAGTCCTACACCATTTAACTGCCAACTCTAATGAATGTATGTATGTCCTTTAAGAAATTGTCTCCACAGGAAGATTTTATTAAGTCCCCAAAAAGTGGTTGATTTTTCAAAGCAGAAGTAGTTTAAAAAAAATTATATTTAACTTTTCAGTTTCTGACTGAAAATGTAAAACGATCTGTCTAAAGGTCAGCCAGTGGACCTGAGATGAGGATTTTCTGGCTTTTGCCTATCAAGCATCCCTTTCATTCTTCAGAGCAGGAAGTCTAGAAGAGAACCATGAGTTGAACCTTCGTTTCACCTGGAATTTATCATTGTGTTTATCAATGGTTTGCAGACCACTGTAAAAATGTTTCAAGTCAACATCGCTTATGAAATAAAATTTTCTCCAGTCAAATTCCCAAAGCTTCAGATGAAGGTCTAAACGCTAACCAAACACTGCTATAGAACAGTAGTCACTCAATCATTTGCAAAGATTCCAATGTTGCATTTTATTTATATACATTTATAACACCAGATTTGGTTGAGTTGGGTTGCTTATTGACTGTGTATCACTTAAACAGCCAGTTTACTTGATGAGGGAGAAAGCCAGTCCTAGTAAAAACCTCCAACTAATAAAATCTTATTAAAATCTTAGGATAATAAGAGTTTTATTGAGGATAATGCTTCACTGTTTGCAGAAGGAGGGCGATAACAGCCCACCAAAGTGATGAAATAGTCCCTTAAAAGCTCAATCTTAAGAACAGGAAATTCAAATTGTTTTCAGAGAGAGACTGGTGGCATAAAATAAAACAAATATGCTTTTTAAGTGTTGCTTTCTTTGGGCAATAACAGCAAAAAACTCTTCAGCCACTGAAGGCAAGTGACTGGTTTTGTTAACAAAGTCTCTGATGAGGAGGATATCAGGTTCACTTGTCCTCACCTAGATTCTCACAAGGTCCAACTTTTAAATTAGATTTCCTATCAGCTCATTCATAGCTTTAAAGTCATTTAGAGTGTCCGTTCAAATAGGAGCTGGACCAGGATTTGTCTGAACATTTCAATAAGAGCAATAATAAGATAAAAAGCCTTTTTCTACAGGGAATCAGAGTTTTATCATACTTGTTGAGTCTGAGTTAGACAGGTTTAGCAATTTATAACAGCTGTGGCATACAATATTCATAGATAAAATGATTTAAATAAATAAGAGTTAAGTTCATTCAGTAAAACAGGAAAATATAATTAGACAGAACATAAGAAGCATGATTGCATAAATATAGGGAAAAGAACTTCAAGAATCCCTAGATTGCCTTCTTGGCTACAACTTTGAATAGGGCTCCCCTTGTCTGGCAGTTTTAGAACTTCGTGGGATACTTAAAGCTAATGTTTGGTAAACCAATTTATTTAAGTGCGCCAGAGTAAAGAGGCTGAGAGTGAATGCTTTGGTTTTTAGATTTTATCTATTGAACCAAAACGTAAAAGATAACCCTAACCCTTTTTGCCGTTTAAAACCATTTGGTACCACTTTTTTTTTTCTTTTTTTTAATCATTATGCCTTAGGTGTTACTATGATAAATGCTAATGAGCTCATCATGTGTCTGCACAGGTTGGATGATTGACGCAGACAGTCGGCCTCGTTTCCGGGAACTAATAGCTGAGTTCACCAAGATGGCTCGAGATCCATCTCGCTATCTTGTCATTCAGGTAGCAATGTGCCTTACTTATACCCTTATATGTTCATTCAGTCCGATGATGGACTTCATGGCTGTAATCGAACAAATTAACTTTTTTATTTATTTATTTTTTTTTTTTTTGCTCAGGGTGATGACCGCATGCACCTACCAAGTCCAACAGACACCAAGTTCTACCGCAGCCTGATTAGTGGAGAGGATTTGGATGATGGTGTGGATGCAGATGAATACTTGGTACCGCAGCACAGCTTCTTCAGCAGTCCAAGCACCTCCTACACCCCACTGCTTCACTCCACGGTATGTTCGGGCAAAAATCTGATAGGAAGCCTTAAATGTCCCTTCATCTGTTGTATAAAGAGCATTTATATTGTTTAAAGAACATACTCTCTGGAAAAGAAAATCAAGCTATAATACTGAAATTCATTCTAATACTTTCAAATTAAATCAGCTCATTTGTGCTTATTTTAGCTTTTTTGTCATCTTTTAACTTTAGAAAATGGGAAGTTATACCCTTGCTCCACTATGAGTGAAACATAAAACAAAACTATTGTTGGTAATATCAAACAATTGGAAAAAGGTTTACTGGATAAGCATTATGTTTTCCTTTGAGTACGGATCACTGCTTCTCAGTGGGTTTAAGATACAGGGTTATGTCAGCCTTTATGTTCCAAATTTTTGGTTCCACATTAAAAAAAACTCTTTATTTTTGTTTGGAGAATTGTTCTCCATATTGCTGGATAACACTGACCATCGTCACATTTTTTTTAGATTTTCAGAAGTTGCTGTAGGAGGACAGTTTTCCAGTCTATTAGTAACAGAACTCTCAGTGAGCCCACTCTCTTGGATGAGAATCAGCAGCACACATGGACTAATTCAGAATACTTCACTGTTGGCACCCCATACGACTCACTGTATTCCACTCAACACATTGTTTTTCAATTGCCCCAGATGATCAGAAATATAATCCATTAGATGAAAAGACTGTCAGTCTTCTAATAACCATATTAGCAATTCCTGCTGATTTGTTGACTTTGCTTTATGATTTTCTTGGACAGAAGTTTTCTCTTTGCGCTGGTAGCCTTGTTTGAGTAGATTCATTTACACCACACCACTCCAAATGTTAGGGTTAAATTTAAATATATGACGGTCAGAAAGCGCTTCTTTAGTTTGCCTTGGGGGAAATGGGATTTCTGCATAATTATTATCTGGTAGCTCAAACCCAAAGTAAACTTTGCACTAAAGGGGAAGGAAGATCTTTCACTAATTGTAGATCAGCAATAAAAACTCATCATCATCTAAAATCAGGAGACAGGAAAAGTAAAATTGGAAGAATAGCCAGTGTTACCTGGACTGATGCACATTAGCTGCAGCAAGCCTTCCTCTGACAGCTGCGCTGTCCTGATCTCACCCACCCGGTGTCTTCCAGCTGCCCTACTCCCACATTTCCTCCCAGCTGGAATTTTAATTGTAAGGACCTTCTGTGTTCTCCATGGATAAGTCTGGCTCTTCTACCTGGAACTGTCATCAGCCACTCTTTAGTTCATTCGAGCTTCCAAGCTTGATTACATTTGCAGATAGGACTGGACGGCACTGGGGGCATTTTTTTTCCTACCACTCACTGCTTGGCGAAAGCTTTGTTTTGCTTCACTGTTTTTAATTTCCTTTTCCTATTTAAAATTGCTGTCATTCATTAATAGGCATGTGCTTGGTAGACATTTGGTTTGATCTCTGATTGTGTTTAAAGATGGCAGCTGCATTGAAAAATACATCATTGTCATCATTTGATTAAAACTTACTTTCCCTAGAGTAGCTTTAAGATAACTCACAGCAAACCACATGTGACTACAGAAATAAAAAGATAACATCAAACTAAGTTAAGGTCAGCAGTGAAAGGAACAAAATATAGCCTCATGATGTGATTAAGTATTTGTCTATGTTATTTGTTTCAGAGCATCAACAGCAGCAATGGAACATGCATCAACAGAAATGGCTTAATGGTGAGCAGAAATCTTGCTAAGATGTCTTAAAACCTGTGCTTACAATACTTTTATGTGTTGTTTTTTTTTTTTTTCATTATTGTGTCACAATGTTGAAAATGTTTCTTTTTAGAACGGTGTGCTGAGCAGAGACGGAAGCATGGTTCTTCGATATATCCCTGACCCCACTGACAAATTTATGGATGACGCCTTCCAACCTGCTCCAGGCAAGTATCAGCCTTTAAATATGAACCATTTCATTTTCATTTCATCTTTACCTGATGGGGACAGTGCAAACAAACATAGTGACAAAACATAGCAAATTAATATCTACATGATCTTCATAGATGAAGCAAATTTATTTTTATTTACAATAGAATCTGCATACACTACTTCATATTTAAAAAGAACATGATCAAAATGTAGAATATACATCTAATATACAACTCTTCCTTACCGGAAATAAATGAGTACAATTCGGATTTGTCTTTAATGAGTTTTTGAGTTTGGTAGCCAGTTTACCCTTATTTCATGATCCTCAATGTGATTCAGTAAAAATACTGACATCTAGTGGTGGAGAAAGATTCTACTATTTTCAAAGATTTTTCTTCTGATTGATGATTCTTATTTAATTCATTAATCTGTTTATAAAAAAGTGTCATGCTCCTATTAAATTGTAATGTCAGAAATAGGAAGTAGGAAGTATTTCTCTCTGGTTAATTAAACACAACTAACCTTTATATATAACAAACACAAATATTTATTAGAAATTTGTAAAATAATAATAATAATAAAAAATTATATTTATCAAGTTTCTAGTTTTGACCTGTCTGAAATCCACAAAATTAGATAGAAAAAAACTGCCTTGCAAAGTACTTCAAGAGATTTATAGTAATCCAGCTTTATATTTTATGCATTACCTTCATTAAAATCGAATCGAAGAACAAACAGTATTATTCCACATGACAATTTTGATATGTACATTGTGAAATATTGTGTTTAAAAAGGCCTGAGGATGAAGTCATTGCTGGTTAGTTATGATCTTTAAATCTTCGGGCTGTACTGCAGGAGACGCCATGCTGCCATTATAATTAGTAGCAGCATGTGGGCTATTCTAATCGCAGGTTCAGTGCCAGTCTGTCAACACCAGCCACTGCTTTATATAAAATAGTCTTCCTAAATTGCATTATATATGAAAGGTGCATTCAGTTTTGCTTACACATACTAGGAATCTTTCTCTTGCCTTTTAGAAGTATTCTCAGCATCTTGAAAGATTTTCATATTCCTTTAAAAAAATGAAAACTACTTTTTATTCAAAAGGGATTTGATTTTATACATTTGCATAAAATGGTGTCAGCGGGTGATTTTTCTTTAAATGAAATGTGTTTACAGATAAAAATCTGTTAAAACGTTTTAAATAAAAAAAAAGATAGTAAGGAATTTCTGTTCAGCTAGCTTTACTCTGTTATCTTAAATAAAATTCTATTGATGGAGTGGTCCTAAACACAACCAGGGCTTCAATGATCAAACTATATGCAGATTAAGTCTTAACCACTCACTGAGAATCGGTTATGAAGCTTAAAAATTGCTGCTCATAGATGGCCTCCAGTTGTTTTGCAGTGAAGAACAAATCTTTAGATATTGGAAAGAAGAAGTATAGTCTAAAAGGTTTGCACCCACCTTACAGTGTAGTAAAAAAGGGGTCAAATCTGTGTAGTTTTGTAAAAACTCAGACTAAGTGAAATACTTAAATGCTTGTGGTTTTAGCAGGACAAAAATGTGGAAATGTTCATGGACCATGGCTACTTTTGCAGTGTCCTGACAACAAGCATTATTATATTGGGGTTTTATTCAACCAGAGGCCTTCATTTACATGTCACTGCCGTTTTCTTTCCACTGATTTCCTGCCATCTAAACTCAAAGAAAAACAATCAAATGTGCTATAAAACTTTTAACCTTTTTTTCTCTGCAGACTACATGAACCACAACGGAGTCTCCAATGTGACGAATCCTGTCTACCAACATGCACGTCCCCCCCGCAGCCTCCTTCCAACCATCTCATCAGATGATACAGAGTCAGAGTACCTGAATTACTTTAAAAACAGGCCAAATGGACCTGAATACCTCAACGAGCTCCCGCCCTCTACCACACTTCCTTTCGACTCCAGCAACATGGTCTGTGTTGATCAGAGCAACAGGCTTCAGAATAGCATTGACAATCCAGACTACCAACAGGATTTCACTCCCACCCCAAAGACTCACGCAAATGGACACATACCAGCTGCAGAGAATGTGGAGTACCTGGGTCCAGACTGAGGACCTTGGAGGAAAAAACAACGAATTAATCCAAAATAATAGTCTGTGTTTTGCTCCTTTGGAAAAGGCATTTTTTTGTTGCTAGAAGCTCAATGAGCACCATCAGTGGAAGCTTACGCAACAGTTTTTCTTTAATACAAAACTTAAATGACTTTTCATGAATGAAAACAAGCCAAAAACTGGGTTGAGTCCTTCTCAGTTGAGCTTTGAGCTACTGGTCCTAACAGCTGATAAAGTTGACCAGCAGCACATTATAGACCTACTAGCATTGGACTCAGAACATCTCTCTCTGAGGAAGTCAACCAGATTAGAGGGAGGGATATTTTTTTTTAGATTGATCACTAACCTGTTCTTAATCAGGTCAGTGTGCATTAAATACTGAACGTGTGAGCAAATACACCTGGTAGGACTGTGGTCATATTCAAACCGATGTGTTTTGTAGCTCAAACCTTTCAGCACTTTGTTATATAAAAGTATATTTTTTCGCAGATGTGACAAAGGGCTTTCCCACAGCGCTTATCCAAAATCAGATCCTATCTTTATTTTTCTGTTTAGTTAATACAAACCATAAAAGATTCTGTTTTTGTCCCAAATGTTTTTGTTTTCTGTAATGTTTATAAAAAGCCAAGTGAACTGTCTGAGGCAGGTTGTGTGTCATTTTAATTGTAACGTTTCATTGTCCTTTATTTTAAACATGATTGCATAGAAAGATTATAAATGTCTTTTTCTTTCATTTAAGAAAGTAAGATGGTTTTTACTTGGCGTTGACGCCATGTGTTCTGTTGCTCTTTAAGTCAGTAACTTTTGCAAGAGCATTATCTCTGCAAGTATTGTTCCTAGTTTTAAAGGAATAACCTATTGTAGCATTTTTGTTCCAAGAATTTAAACAGGTACCTGTACAGAAAACACTTAATATCCTGAAATACACTACCAAATAGCTGTAATTAATAATCCGTAAAGAAGTTTTGTCTATGTGAATATGCACGTGTTTTTTGACTGTGAGCATATAATTCAATAAATTACAGGAATAAATCTTTTTCTATAAAAGGGTATCTTTTGAGTTTTGATCCCATCTTCACAAATTGTTGGTGAAAAACAGGAAAACAAAGATAATTCAGTAATTTTGGAGTTTTTTATTTACTGTTGCAAAAAATAATAATAATTTCATTAAGTTTTACCTCTTTATGATCAGCTTAAAATCCTTTCGCACTTTCATACTGTTGTGGTGTGATTTCACTATCTGACTTAATAGAGTGAATAGTCAGGTTGTTTGGAGAAATTTAAATTTACAAAATGAAAAATGTCAACTCAGTAAGTGTGTATCAAACAAAATCAAAGATATTAATGTTTTTTTCATTTCTAAGATGCTATACTTGCTGCACTTATATAATGTTAAACTAATGTATGAAGTTACTAAACAAAAGAAAACCTCAATTAGTATATCAGCTAATGTCACATTTTGCAACATTAGCATCTTGAGTTACATTGCAAATATTGGGCCCCCTTGACCTTTTGACCTTTTGTATCATTTCAGGCATCAGATATAGATATAACATTTTAATTCTTTATAAAGGATCAACAGGTGGGACACAATCATGAAGTGGAAAGAAAGGTGTTTGATATTTTAAACTTATTTAACAAATAAATAACTGATAAATTAGGTGTGCAAAATTAATCCGCCCCCTTGAGTTAATACCTTGTAGCGCCACTTTTTGCTGCGATTACAGCAGCAAGTTGCTTGGGGTATGTCTCCATCAGTTTTGCATATTGAGAAACTATTTTTGCTCATTCTTTTCTGCAAACATAGCTTGAGCTCAGAGAGGTTGGACGGAGAGCGTTTGAACAGCAGTTTTCAGTTCTTTCCACAAATTGTAAATTGACTGGATACTGAAGACCTGGATATGTTTATTTGTGAACCATTCATTGTACTGTAGAATTTTTCTCTATGTGTTTGCTCACTGGGTTGTTGGAAGATAAATCTCCGTCCCAGTCTCAGTTCTTTTACAAACTCCAACAGGTTTTCCTCCAGAATTATCCTGTATTTTGCCCCTCATCCTTCTTCCCATCAGTTTTAACCATCTTCCCTGTCCCTCCTGAAGGAAAGCAGGCCCAAACCATGATGCAGCCGCCATCTTGTTTGGCAGTTGTTGATGTTGTGTTACACCAAACATAACATTTTGCATATTTGCCAAAAAGATTAATCTGATCAGAGCACCTACTTCCACATGTTTGCTGTGTCTCCCAGTCTGGTTGGGGAAAATTTTAAACAAAAATGTTTATGGACATCTTTAAGAAATGTATTTCTTCATCATGAAGAATGGATCATGGGTCTCTTGGCTAATTCTCTGATCAGTCTTCTCCTTGTTTGAGTTGAAAGTTTAGAGGGACGGCCAGGAAGATCACAGAGCAGGTGCATTTATACAGAGGCTTGATTACACACAGGTAGATTCTATTTATCATCATTAGTCATTTAAGTCAACGTTGGATCATTCAGAGATCCTCACTGAACTTCTGGAGAGAGTTTGATGCACTGAAAGTATAGGGGACATTTAATTTAACTCACACCACTATTCTGTTTTTTACTTGTTAGATAAATCTAAAATATCTAATACAATTCATTCCACTTCATGATTTTGTCCCACCTGTTGTTGATTCTTCACAAAAGGTTACAATTTCATGTCTTTATGTTTGAAGCCTGTAATGTGGCTGAAGGTCGAAAAGTTCCAAGGCGGAGAATTCAAAGCTTTTAGTCTATATCTCCAAATTGGGATAGCAATCTTTAAAACTAGAAGTTCGTATTGTTTTCCATGTAATTTTCCAAATTAGTGAAACTCAATCATATAAGACAGTTAGCTTTGATGTTAATTAACTTGATAGAATATTAGCTATCCAGCATTTACGGATAAAATCACATATTTCCATGTTTATGAGGTTATATAGCTTCACAACGGTAGAAAAATTGAAAATTTAAATGTCTATTTAACATTAATTTATAATGCAGTTTGCATCAACAAAAACTAAACAAACTATCACAAGGTAAAATGTTATATTTTATAATCATATGTGTAAATAATGGTTATAACCCGGAGATCCAATAATTCATCTGACATAAGTAGTAAGAGTTAAAAAAATGTATTTAAAAGTAAGTTGGTGTTGAAGGACCAGGAACTAATTGGAACTGGAATCATTTGTGGGGAAGAGAACAGTGTTAGTGCCAGAGAACAACTCAGTGATGTGGAAGGTGCACTAAATGAAAGCCACTAATCCTCTGAGAATCGGGGAGGCTGCGCTGGCTCTGATGAATGAATGTCTGGTTCAAACCTTTATGGTGCTAGACAGGGCTAAGTCTAGTAGGTCAGAACCGGGGTCATGCACAGAAAAACAATTCACATGGTAGGGGTTTCAAGAAAGGCTAAATGAGAGGGTCAGCCTTTAATTATTTATAGTAGTTTAGATGGTATGTATTCAAAAACATGCTACGGATAATTAAATCAAAGATGATTTTACATAGTGTATACTAAAATGTCATGTGGTGCAAACAAATTGGCAAGCTGGTAAGGAGGGCCAGGTCATTGATGTGAAAGCGACTGAGAAGAGGATGGGAGGAAAGCTAAAAAAATACCATGGGCAACACCTTTTCACCTACCTGCTGAGCAGAGGCAGTCTAGGTGCTCCTTCAGGTTTATCCAGCTCGGAGACATTAAGTAATCGAAAGTCTCCTTTGAGTCATCAGGACCTACAATACCAAAGGACAAAACTCAAAGAGTTTTTGCTAGATTTAATGCTTTAGTTGTTTTTGCTTTACCTGTCAGGTAGTAATAAAGCTACATCACATCTTATCTTTTCTAGATTATTCTAATTTATTTAATAAGAATTTCTAAAATGAGAAAAAAAAACAACACAATGAGAATGGCTGACTGTGAAAACCTATTCATTGTTCCAGTCATTGAAATTAAAGTCTTAAAAATAGGGAACATGCTTTTTTTTTATATTTATTTCAAGGTGTTGATTTTTTTTTTTGCATCGGTGTTATGCTGTTTTATAATTTAGATATAAAACATTTCTACAAATAACAGCACAATTGCTAACCATTGTATTGCTCATGTTATAAAATAATGGATATTGTAAAAACAATTTGTTAATAATTTAAAATAGAAAGAAGTAATACGTTGTGCATTTGACCACTTCTGCTACCCAGACCTTGCCTGAGTTACCTGTTATCTGTCCCCACTTCCTGAAACCCTCAATTATAGTTTTATAGTCATTTAACACATCTTGTAAATAGATGAAAGATAAAGTTAGAAATGTTTCTTTTATATGCACAGTATTTGGCATCACCTTTAAATGAAATTGCTGCGTCCATGTGTTTAAATACGAAGTTTACAGAGAAAATACAACCTTAAGGTCATGGTTTCAGTAATGTTTTGACCATTACATGAAACACACTTATTATTTAAAAATAACCATTTGCAAAATTAGGTTTCTATTCGAGTAGAAGGAAAAAATATATATAAATCATTTTCCATAATGCCCCCAAGATACATTTAATGCACCTTTTAGTGCATTGTCCTTACCTAATACAAAAATTTAACAATAAATTACACAGTACTATTTATCATATACTATTCATGATATATGATATTATTTTATGTGTGCAAATAAACATATTTACTGTATAACCTATTTATGAGTAGCAGCTGTGCATGCTACAGTGAAGTCTAACAGGAAAGGAGAATTTAAGTGCAATTTAGGTAGCCTATATCGTGGAAAAGCTTCAACATCACTAAAAGGGTTTTATTGATTTAAGAAATTCTTGAGCTATGAAAATTTCTTACATTTTGTACATACTGTGCAGACTCTATTTCATTCATTTTAGATCACAGGACCAAATTGCATCATCATCTCGAAACAAAGTGCAAAATAAATAGATTTGTTAGGAACAGATAAAATATCAGTAAAGATCTCTATGTCCTATTTCTCTCCAAGAGACACTTATAGGGACTGCTTAACATGTTGATAGTGTCTGAAGTCAGACTTTGGACCAGATTGACTAAACAGCTGCAGGCTGAAGACAAGCCTGATTTAAATACAATGTACGTTGTTGACACTAGTCAGGCTGGCTTCTGCAGTGATATGGGGAGAAATAAATTATTCAGTAATAAGTGGGATTATGTAAAACTTGGCTTGAAGCCTATAAAAGTGAGAGACCATAAAGCACATTTGTGTTTTTTTTTTTGTTTCACTGTGATTTAAATAAATATTTGACATATTCATATAAAATATTATTTATATGTGAAACTCAAGTTAATTCAAGTTTTTAAGTAGATTTTTCATTTTTTTTTTTTACTGCAGCATAAAGATAAAAAGAGAAAATGGCAAGCTTGTATTTTTGTTTTAAAACACTATTTACAGAACTTTTTATTAAGCTTTTTCTTGATTGCAACATTCAAAGCAAAGGATAAATGTAGGTTTACAGTTAGTATTTTCTAACATTTAAAAAAAATAATACTGGAAGAGCTTGGGAAACTTAGATTATTATGGTACAGTAACGTCCAGTAAAAAAAAAAAAAATAACCTGAAATTGGATACATATTTTTGCATTCTCAATAGGATTTAGTTTGGGGCTCATAGAAGTTAATTTCAGAATAGTCCAATGTTTTTAGCTGTGTGTTTAGGGTCATTATCCTGTTGAAGACCCATAACCTGAGACTGAGAGCAGGCTTTCTGACGCTGGGCAGCATATTTCTCTCTAGAATCCCTTTATAGTCTGGAGATTTAATAGCACCCTACATCGAATCAAGAGACCCTGCGTCAGATAAAGCAAAGCAGACCCAGAACATAACAGAGCCTTCTCCATTTTTTTACATGTTTCTCCTAAAAGCTTTGTATCAATCAATCAATCAATCAATCAATCAATCAATCAATCAATCAATCAATCAATCAATCAATCAACCTTTATTGTCAACTACTATTTACATTGCAATCGAAATTTCAGTTTCAGTACAAACCTTTCATCACAACACATCACATACATTGGGGTGGAGGGGCTAAGAGAGGGAATGGATCCACTGAAGCCATGCAGTGGATCTTGTCAACATGTAGTTTGGTAAATTCCCACATGGCTTTTTTATGGTTTGTTTTCAGCAATGGCGTTCTCCATGGTTGTCTCCCATTAAATTTAATTTGGCTGATGAAATCTGACTCTGATTTGAGCATGAAGTTCCCCTCTAGTCTCTTTAGAATTTTTTCTGGGCTCTTTTGTTAACATTCATATTATCCATCTCTCTGATTTGTCATCAGTTTTCCTCCTGCGGCCACGTCCAGGGAGGTTGGCTACGGTCCCATGGATCTTACATTTCTGATTAATATGAGCAACTGTAATCACAGCAACATCCATGCTTAGAGATGTTCTTATAACCTTTGACATGTTGGTTTATAATTTTCTTTATAATCTCTTCACCTCCTCTGGTCCATGCTAAGTATGGTACACACCATGTCACCATGTCTGTCAGTGAGTCCCAGGGCAGCTGTGGCTACAATGTAGCTTGCCACCATCAGTGTGTGAGTGTGTGCGTGAATGGGTGAATGAATGTAGCGTAAAGCGCTTTGGTCAAGTCTCCTAACTTGAATAAAGGCGCTATATAAGTACATGCCATTTACCATTTACCATACAGCAAAGTGACTACCTGTAGCCCCATATATAGACCCAGTAACTGACTTCAAGGTTGTAGATACCTGTCCTACATGGCCAATCAAGAGTCACCTTTTGTTTACCCTAATGCCAAAAAACTTCAGGCACAGCTGCCTAGGCTGAACTTTTCAAGCTTGGCCATGATCTGGATGACTTGGAATCTCTACAGACAGTCTGAGAAAGGTTAACATCACCTCTATTTTAGCAGAGACATTTTAGGGAGTACTCTTGCATGTTAAGCTTGTAATCTCATAGTATCATAACAAGATCAAGATAAGAGCTTTCGTTTGCCAAATACTTTCAGTTTGTTTGGTTTCAACTGTAATTAGGTAGATTTATTGTAGTTACTGGTATTTTTTGGGCCATTTTCATCCAGTTCTGCTTTAGGTGTAACTTACAGAGGGTGTCAATATTTTAACTGATGCAAGGCAAAGTTCATGGTGATATCTATGATAAAACACTAGCCAAGGCCTTCTTCAGTAAAGCAACCTGAAACCATTAAAACTTCCAGCTTAACGCTCCACATTTGGTGAAATGTCATCTTACTGCTTCTAAGACACATCAGGTCAGAGTACATCTTCTAAAAGTCCTTATCTTTTGCTAAGTTCTTGCTAATTTTCATGCACATGAAATCTAATCTCTCTTCCCTATAGGAATAAATAAATGAATGAATAGGAATTTATTTGCAACAATTTTGACAGACAACAATAAACAACAATCAGTAAATCAACAAAAAATAGACTTTTTAACATCAACCAAACCAAACACCAGTTTTCAAACTAACTAAATTTACCTGAACATAAATAAAAACAAATAAACCTATCGGTATATACAGCCAGAGAAGTGACATCATTAAATGGAAATTGTCTGAAAAAAGGGTATAAAGAAGTAAAACTTACTTTTCATACCTCCTCTCCTTCTAATTGCACTTAAATTAACTTAAAGTAGAGTAACATTCCTGTTAAACTTGTTTTTTGTCCAATATTCACACACACAAAAATATATACACAATTATATATATATATATATATATATATATATATATATATTTTTTTTTTTTTTTTTTTAAACAATGTTTTCTTGCATTCAGAACTGCTTGGGCAGAGAGACCTGGATTTGTTAGTAACTGTTTTTGAATGTCATTTTCTCTAATATAATGCAGTTGCTGATGTTTTCACTTGAATTAGCATTTCTTTCTTTCTTTTTTTTTTTTTTTTTTTTTTTTTTACCATAATCACAAACTGCAAAAATTGTCCTCCTGTATTCCTCTGGGAACATTTTTCTCTTACCATGTGATTTACTCTCACTTTAAACTAGATTTTCCTAGATTTTATAGAAAATAAATTTTTTTGTATTATTTTCTGTTTTCATAAATATATTATTAGACATACAGGATTTCTCAAGGTTTTGTATTTTCCATTTTCTGCATAAATGCATCTAAAATTCATAATACTCTTTTTGGTCATTAACATTTATTCAGTCATTAAAATAATAAAAGAAAAATAAAGTTAGAAAAATAAATAAGGATATATATATATATATATATATATATATATATAT